CTGGCCATGTCCACTCCTGTACTGCAGAAATTAAATCTTTCCTGGCTGGAACCAGGACAGGGTGGCTGTGATCCCAAGCTCTGTGTGTTTGTGTGTGTGTGTGTGTGTGTGTGTGTGTGTGTCAGTGCCTGTGTGGGTTGATGTTTCTCATGCAGAAGAGCATTTTTTCTGGGTGTTGATCTGGTTTAGCTACCTCACGGTGCAAGCTGGGTGCTGTCGTCACTGGGTTTTGTTTTGGGGATGGGCTGGGGACTTCATGCTGTAAGATTTTTTTTCCTCTTAATTATTGTTTTTTTTTCCTCTTAATTATTGTTATTGTTACGGTTTTGACACTTGAATTCATCCTGGGGACAGGTGGCCTCCCTCCCACCTTGCTGCATGTCTGAGCCACCCCTGGGATGCCCTCCCTGCCTTCTCCCTGCAGGGCAGCAGGGCTGTCTGCCCTGCGCTGCCAGCTCCCACCTTTGCAGTGGGATCCCCCAGCGCGGTCCCAACACTGAGATTTTGCTCCCATTGCCAGTGGGATTCCTGGTCTGAGGCTCTGTGGTGTTGCCATTGGTTTTTGGGCTGAATTGGCAGCCTGGACGTGGTTCCCGTCTTAGAAGGATGGAAAAGGAGCTCTGAAAGGCTCAGCTCAGCCCGTKTTTCTTCCTCTGCTCTCACAGATATTCTCTGTGGATGCAGTGAAGTTGTTGAGTGGGAAATGTCTGTAAAGCACATTGCTGGAATGGGCTGGTTCCAGCCACCCATTTTTTACCCAGAGCCTGCTGCAGCTGCAGGGCAGCAGGGAGCTGGTACTGTAAAAACCTCTGCCCAAGCTGGCCATGGTCTGTGAGAAGCTGATTCTGGTGTGTGGTATTTGAGCTTTCTCTCCCCAAAAACCCGTAGTTGTGTCTAAATTCAGTGCCAGGTGCTGCCCATGAACAAGGGTGGCCCTGGAGCCCCCAGCTCACCCCTGCCTGGGGCTGGGGGCTGCCCTGGTGCAGCGAGGTGAGGGTATGAGCCACACTGTCAATTTGGGGGTGCAGGTCCTCCCAAACGCTAAAGCACAAGGTCCCCAYGTGCAGGGGGCTCTAGGAGGGGTGACCCCTTGGACTGTGGCCCATCAGAGCTCAGAGTGGCACCGAGGGCTGGCACAGGAGGAGGAGGTGGGCTGGGATGAGGGCTGTGCCTGCCYTGGGGGAGCTGCTCCATCCATCCCTTTGCCCTGTGCTGGCTGCTCCCTGGAGCTCAGGGGCCCTGCTGCACCACTGAAGTCCCCTCTGGTGGTCTCAGAGTCCCCCAGGGCAGGGACAGTTTGGAGCTGCCTTTGTTCCCCACACCTCATTTTTCTTTGCCCTTGGGCACCTCGCTTTGTGCCAAGGGTGTGATCATGCCTGCAGTCCTTCTCARATGCTGGGTTTGGATTTCCCCCAGGGCCTGACTCTTGCTCCGGGGGGTCTCCTCACCCCCAGCACATCGGGCCCAGCTCCAGGCTCTGCAGAGGGCTGCCCCAGAGCTGASCTTTGCACAACGGGGGTGGAGAAGAGTCCTGAAAGCACTGGATCCCCAAAGCACTGTGAGCCCCCTGAGYGGTGTCCCCTCCCTGCCACCTGCAGCTCCCACGCCCAGGATGGGCTGGCCAGCTGCGAGGAACGGGAACTCCGGGGTCCCATCCCGTCCCCACAGTTGCTTTGTTCCTCCCCACCAGCTCTGAGCATAGCTGCTTTGGGGGCTCACACGTTGCCTCCTCTCCTGCCTTGGTGCTGCAAACCCAGTGCCTGCTCCCCAGGGTGCTGCTCTCCCTGCCCCGCGCTGAACAGAGCCCAGGTACGGTCTCTGCGAAGCACAGGGCTCCATCTTGCCTTCCAGCAGGCTCCCTGCAGCTGCAGTGTGCCCTTCTGAGCCCCCTCACCCTTCTGGGAAGGGCGAGGACCCCCAGCCCCTGCGGGTGCTGCACGGTGCTCCAGCTGTGACTGGGACAGAGGCCAGCACCGAGCCAGCTCCCAGGAAAGCACAGCCCTGCACTTTCCTCCTGCTCCAGGGCTATCCCCTCATCCATGACACTCTGCCCTGGTTCCTGCCGGCTGCTCTGCCTGGCCTGGGACCCCAGGTCGGGCCCCACAGCGRGCTGGGGCAGCTGCAGCACTGTGTCACCTGCTCCGTCCCTCCTGGCCGCACAAGGAGCACAATAGCCGATGCCTTTTCACGCTCGGAGCTTTTTCCAGCTTTCAGCTGCTGCGGAGGCCGGTGTTGCCTGCGGGGTTTGTGCAGCCCA